CCCTAGTGAACATTGTCCAGTAGTACGTACTTAATCCTTTGCATGTGCTAGCTTCTAATTCGCAGCTGGTTGATTATTTGCCTATTTTGAAAATTTCCAAAACTTACTTTAGTCGTTTATTGTAGTAGTAGATATATCTGTGGTATCGATAAAGCACATTTTCGAACCAATTTAAACACTATTGATACGTTTTTATTTATCGATTAATAATTATTTGGAAGAGTATAATAAAACATTGAAGTCATAAAGTCGGAAAAAATTAATATAACTTATTACTTACTAATTAAATAAATTATTACTCACTCTTCAGGTGTTATTGTACTATTATATAAGTGATAATTTGCAGTAAAATTGAATTTTGTTTGCATAGATTTTGTTTCGAAGCACAAAGTCACAGCTGGGTACGGAATCTTAAAAAATAAAAACATGTAATAAAGTCTCAAAATAAAATCCCTCACTTTCAGTTTGCCTTTTAATATAACAATAAATTTTAACTCTCACTAAGAAAAATTAGATAATTTATATACCTGCCAAACTGGTGTCGTATTTTCAGCGAAGCTCACGATGACTGGACTTTCATTCCACTTTATCCAAACTTTTCTGATGAAACTAGCGCACAAAATTACGCAGCAAATAAACATAAAAAGCCAAAATATTCTGCAATAGTGATACGAGTACATTAATGATACAGTATGGAGCACAAATAAAATAAAAACTTTTTCTTCGATAAAGTTACAATTTCACAGCAAAAAATGTGTACAATAATTATTAAAAAACGAACGAAAACCTACTTTTCCACCGGGGTTCGTTCTTTTTCTCCTATATATTTCAGGCCATGTAAATTGGAGTTAGCTGTGTAATCTATTAAATATTCTTTGATGCCATTGCATTTTTTTCTATTTAGTTTATTCGGGACATCTAATTTATTTTGTTTTTCTTCATTTCGCTCCAAATCGTTATCTTTGCCGACGCTGTTAGATCTTGTTCAACACAGAAAAATATAATTACATCACTAAATTCGAATGAGTTCATTATCAAAAGTTAATTTTGAAATAAGATAATATTACGGTTTTCCATCCCGAAGGAAAGAAAACAGTTATTTTAGGTCTTGCCAAGGCTTGACCTTTCGGAGATTAGCTGCTTTACTTATCCAGTACTTATGTCGGTAACCTTCCTGTTTCGTTCATGAGAGCGGGTAGTGCGCGGGGTTGGAACGGCCACCCCGCACCCGGGGTGTGGCGGCAGGCGCGTGAGCTTGTTCGCGCCCGTGCTTTTTAGTACCTGTTACCGAAAGGCATTGCTCAGGTCAAACCTTGGCAAGACCTAAAATAAATTACCTTTCGTAGATAAAACCGTAACATTTTAGCTCTGTGCCTTCGGCTTCACCTTTCGGAGAAGTGTTTCTATTCTGCCGGCACTAAACCAGCGCACTGTGACTTACTAGACAGGTACTAATATTATTAAGGAATTATGTGATAAGAAATTCGTAGAAACAACAATTCATGAAAAAGAAACAGTTTAATTAATAACAAATTGTCGCTTCTTATATTTAACATAGTCCAGTACCTAGACTCTATAAAATAATACTTTTTTCTGTTAACATATAATTAATAGATAACTTTGGAATTTAACTTAACAATCAACATTGAACTTAAAATATTTTTTTTTATTACTATAAAAAAGAGTAACACGTATTTTTGATTTAAACTCAGATCATTGAGAATTAGGAAAAATCATATTTTATATATTCTAATATACAAAAAAACTAATCAATAGGACTTAAAGAAATAGTGACGTCCTTATAACATAAGCTTTCGCTTTTAATAATATTTGAAGAAATTAGTTTGACCTCGCCAATTGCCTCTTTTTAATATAAAATCTAGGGGTACATTATTTTCTAAATCGTGGAAAGCTACCGCTGATCGGATCGACCGGACTGCATTTAATGCCTAAATCATTAAAAGGTACTTTTAACCATCCAGCTATTATAGACCTTGAGTCTGCCTTAACCTTTCCTCGAGTGGTTATAAAAAAATTCTGTAGGTCCTCCTGTCCGCTTCTTCTTTGTTGCGATACAACTATCAAGTCTATCACCCAACTCACAATATCGAAGATTGCTTTATCCGAACTTGACAATAACCACCCTAATTGGCGATATCTGGTGCTATCTGTCTTTGAGCCAAAGACAGGCTAGAACGTAATAGTAGCGTCCTGAAAAACGCAGTGATCTTGCTCTATTCGCAAGAGAGTCAAGTCGTGTATTCGGCGGCCAGATGCCAAAAGTAGTAGCAGTGCGACATGCCGAGACACCTGGAATATGCTGTTTTTATCCGGTGGGTTAGACTCAATCCAGTGTATCAAATCCTAAATATTCCAAATTTGTGATTTATCACTAGTGGTAGATCGGTCTTTGAGGATTATCGCTTTCATTATTGAAGTTATCAACGGATGCGATGCCAAGATAGAACTTTGCGCAGGGTCAGACATTATAACTGGTTTATGAACTTTAATTGTTGTGCAAGCTAAATTCTTTACACGACTTAGGAAGTTTAGATAAGAAGCTATCTCTGGTGGCTAATTGGATTGTGTCCCATTTTGTTAACGCCACTCGGTCCACTGTCTCCATGCTGAACTATATGTTTTCCAAGTTGATTCTCTGCTGAAGTGGTTGGCAAATTCTGCTTGGCGATCTCTTGCGTCTATTGTGACGTAACGGGGAACTACTCTGGATTGCCTTGTCGCGAACAGATCTATGGTGGGGATTCCCATCTTCTGAAAGACGTTGTTTGTCATATCCATTTGGAGATCCCAATCTGGCAATATCATACCCCAAGAAAGGCGGTCCACTATGGTGTTGTATCTGCCTGGGATAAAGAAGGAGGTTAGAATTATCTTTTGGTCTTCGGCTAGCAAAAGCAATTCTCGAGTGCGCTCCAGCAGTGTCGTAGATTTTGTCCCGCCTTGGTTGTGGATATATGCTACCACGGTCCCTGTTGTCTGATTGAACCATATAGACTGCCCTCTTGTCACGTCTGGGAATCGTTGAAGTGCATGAAGGACTGCGTATAACTCTTTTTGATTTATATGCCAACTCAATTGGGTTTTGGTCCACTTCTCTGACAGGCAATGTTCACTTATTTGCACTCCATATCTCACGTTGGACGCATCTGTGGTGATAAAGATTTTTGGATCGGGAACAAAAATCATCCCTGGCTTGGTAAGATTTTCTATCCACCAAATTAAATCTTCCATTGCGTCCTCCGACAGTGGAAACATTAGCTGTGGGAAGTCTTCCAATAGAACCCGACTTGCCCGCTGAATGCCTCTGAACCGGCCCAAAGTGACAACTAGCGAAGCAAACCCGAGTTTTCCCAATATGGCCGTCCCGTTTTTCCAATTCCACAGACGACTCTTTACCAATGTTTTTAAATCTTTTAACCCGTGTACGCATTTTTGCACTGATAGACTTTTACTGGTTTGTTGACGTATTCCAAATTATACCCAGAAATTCTATTTCTTGTGACGCTTTTGTGATTAAATTTTCTTGATTTAGAACCCAACCGAGACTCTCGAGAAGATGAAATGCATCTTTCATCTGATTTTCTAATATTTGTAAGTCTTGGTGAGCCAGCAGAAAATCGTCGAGATACACTAGTACTCGTATTCCCCGTGCTCTCAACAAACTGGCGACCCATTTGGTTACTTGGGAAAAGGCTAAAGGAGCGCTTGAGAGACCGAATGGTAGGAAAAGGCTAGATATCGACGGTGGCTTTCCCTGATTGGGGTGTGGAAGTAAGCTTGTGATATATCGATCTTTCCCATGAAGTCGGCTCTCTGGAGAAACTTGGGGACGTAACTCTGGTTTATAAGGCGAAACTTGTTTGGATTCAAGTAAAAATTTAGCTGTCTGAGGTCGAATATTTGGCATACTTTCCCATTTGGTTTTGGAATCAAGAAAATTTTGGAAAGAAAACCTGTTACCGCAGAACATTTCTTGATTACGCCTGTCAAAAGGAGGGATGCTATCTCTTTGTCCATCAGTACGGAGTCTTTTGTTGCAATTTTTTTTGTCAAATATATGTTTAATGGGATTGATGGAGGTTTTTTTACAAATGGTATTGCGTATCCTGATATAATTTTTAAGATTGAAGTTGGAGCTCCGAGCTTCTGCCAATAACTTCTGAATTTTCGTAATCTGCCCGCTTCGAATTTGCTGTCAATATTTTCGACGCTGCTGCCGTTGGCCTCTTTTTTCAGTACCCTTATTTCCTCGTTTGCAGTGGCCGTGTGTGAAAACTCGGATTTTGTTTATTATGATGTGGTCCGGGATGACGGCCTCGTTTTTGCTGTTGCGTAGTTCGATTTGAACTCTTAGGTTCCTTACCAAATTGTGAAGGAAATATTCGAGCGGCGCCACCGTTATCTCTTACAAAGTTGGACAGCCGATCCTTTTCAAAAATGTGGGTGTGCGATAACGGTATTTTTTGTAGTTTTGTTGTTAAAGCTTAATTTTTCCCCTTATAAGCCTTTTGCCTTATATCATGGTGTCTGCTGTTTTCAATATGTGTGTGCATGGGCATATGGGCACACACATATTGAAGGAGGTCATCAGACTTCGTCTTAAAGTTAGAGTCATCAGAAAACAGATTCTTGATGTCTTCCGAAGCAGATGGAAACTTCAATGCGAGCTTTTTGAGTTCTTCTGATTTCATTTGCGGATAAACAAATAAATTTTCCATTAACTGATGTAGTCTTATTACTGTCTTACTGGTGGTGTAGCCACAGTTCCTAATACACCATCGTATTTGCTCAAAAGTCTAGAGAAGGGAAAATTCAGATCATTTAGTTCTGGATTAACCTTCAGAGTGCTGAAAATTGGAGATGCGTGTAAGCGCTTCACTACCTCTTTGAACCTTATGCGATTCCAAGAATCAAACCCAAACGCTGACAGGCTATTCTTTCATTCTTTGCCTGTTCGGATGATTCAGGAATGTTTGGCTCTATTTCCTTGGTTTTTGAAGGAAGTCTAACTCCTGCAAGCTTTGTTGCCTCTCCAAATCAAAGCCTGAATCCACAGGGGGTGCGTTCCAATCATCGGGTGACTCCGATCGATTATACATATATTGGAATATCTCGCTAACATTCGATGAGAATTCTATAAACTCATTTACTTCTACGTTACCTGCAGTCAGTGTATCAAACCTCTCCATAATTGTAGAGAACATGTCATTCACCCGATGTTCCAAAGCCTCTATACGGGATCGCTTTGCTTTGTCCGGCCAGGAGTCATTCGTTTCTTGGTCAGACGAATACCGTCTCTTTTTTGAACCTGAAAGAGCGCTTTCTACTTCGATTGAAAGTGCTCTGTCGGTTCCCCTTCTAGACATTGGTCTGTTTATCCTAACTGCCTCGATAAAAATCTCCGTTGCTGTTGCCGATCCTCTTATCCGATTACAAATGGCTGGCGGACCTGTTATTAACGCTCTGCCAAATGCCCAATCTAACATTTTCACTTTTAAATCTCGAAAACCTTTCTCTGATAGTCTCTTAGACTCGGATACAAATGCTTTCGCCAACTGGTCCGTAGGTAGCGCAAATCGCAGTTTGTTAAGAATTTGGGGGTCCACGCTCTCGCCAAAGATTTAATCTTTAGATCGTCTTGTAACCTTCCAGGTCGTCCATCCCTCAAGTAACGATTCTTGCGCGATAATCTTCACTCGATCCAAAATTTCGTTGTCGTGGTCATTCTCAGCAGCTTCCTCCAGTAGCTTCTTGGACCATCTGAAGCATAACAAAAAAAAATTCTATCAGACTAAAGCCTCTCGTAACACTACAGACGGTGCGAGAGACGGCGCGAATCATCGGATGGCTCCGACTAAGAGGCCGTTAAGAAAGCCTGCGGCTCGCAAGCCGTATTGGACTTCTGCGGCTCACTAGCCGTCGTAGACGGCTGCGGCTCAGAAGCCGTATTGGACGGCTGCGGCTCAGGAGCCGTATTGGACGGCTGCGGCTCAAGAGCCGTATTGCTCGGCTGCGGGTCACGAGCCGTATTGGACGGCTGCGGCTTACGAGTCGTACATGAGACCGTCGTTGCTCTTTAATAAATGAGCCGCAAGCGTGATCAACTAGCTAGTGAGCCGATTGGCTGCGCCTAGACGTCGCCATATACAAGAAATATCTTCTAAGTAATCAATCATATAAAAATTTCGAACATAATAAACAGGGAAAAATAGTAATGAAATAATTTATATAAGACACACTTAGAATACGTGACTAATTATACTTAATCGGAACATCATTTTAAATTAAATATGGGAATAAGGTATGTAGGTTATCCATAACTTCAGTCGAAAATTTGCAAACAACAATAAACAGAAACGAATATGCCACCCGCACTCTCATAAACGAAACTTCTTAAAATAGTGAATCACTTACCTTCTCTCAGCGATATAATCCACTCTCGAAAATCACTTAGGTAAACCACTACAGTATTTAGTAAACAGAACGTTACAACAACGTTATACTGGTAGGTACGCCGAACCGTGCATATTTACTCGTAATACGCGCCTGCCGTCACACCCCCGGGCGCGGTGTGGTCGTTCCAACCCCGCGCACCGCCGCTCTCATGAACGAAACAGGAAGGTAACCGACGTAGATACTGGATAAGTAAAGCAGCTAATCTCCGAAAGGTCAAGCCGAAGTCACAGAGAATATAAGAAAGTGAGTAAGTTTTGTTTACTATCGATTAGATTTTTATTTGATTTATTATGCCTCGAGTGTTGCCTCATGTTGGCCAGGGACTGACTGCGCGAGGACTGTTCTCGAAATGCTCTGACGGATTATTGGACTTGGTTACGAATGTAAGTAGTAATTAGCACTCCTATAGGACATAATGTGAATTACGTAAAAAGGGGTGTATTGACATTATAATTAAACTGGCTGCAAATACGCAGACTCACCCCAACCCTTAAATTAATTTTAACGATTTCGTTGGCATTTATAAGTCTCATAAAAAACATTTAATTACTTACCTACCTCAAAATTGCTAATCATTTTGTCATAAGACTTATTACTCACGTTCCTTTTGCGTACGTATCTACTTTTTGGAAGTTAAAGGTTTCGCCTTTAAGATACTCGTAGGTCAAGTAATATAATTTTAAGAAGACAAAATATTTTCGACTATCTGAAATACGGTATCTAGAAAATTAACTTTTCTTTATTGTGTCGGGTATTGTTGTTTAATTATTAATTAAAAAACTGACCTAAGAACATTACAAAGCGTGAAGTCTATCAGGAGGTATCGTATTTTATTTTAGAAAACAAATCCATCACTTGTATCAAAATTAAGTTTCTCAAATATACATACTACAAGGTGGAACAAAAATCATAACGAAACCGAAAACTGTGTGTTCTATACACAAAAATAAGTATCATAAAAAAAATATAACTGGGAAACAACACAAAATTTTATGACGTTAATAAAAATAAATAATTTGCGGCACGCAATGTAACACGCACGACAAACCTGAGTAAATCATCGAGAACATAACGTACATGCGCGCGTGCCGCTCACACAAAGGTGTATAAACGACAGTACATGATAACACTTGGCGGCACGCTATGATGGCCGTTTTGACGTTTGTCCGCTCATGAAGTTCCGTATTAATTGATAACGACTTTGAAGGAAATAATTGCATTACTTTATTGACGATAGTGATGTGCAGAGATTCATAAGTTTTATCGAATGTAGTTTTAGGAACCAAAAATTAATTTATTAAATTGATTTCTAAAATGTATACAAGTGTAGAAAAATCAGTTTGCACCATTTAAGGGGTGAATGTACTTGTGAATATGAACAATTTTCACTATGTGGCTACCTCTGAAATCGCAAAAAAATATCAGCTGTTTCATACAAAAGGTAAAATTTTTATTTTTATATGATATATGATTGGTGTACTTATTTATATCACAACTCGGCATTTGGTTTTCTAAATTGAAAATTTTAAAAATGGAATCTAATACGATCGTCACATAGGATCGCTGGCTAGCACAACTATTACCTCCGGCAAACTAAACGCGTCAATGCTCAATGCAAAACAAAGGTACTGTTAGGTTGAGGATTTAAAGAGTCTTTTTAAAAAATAATATTTATTTAGCCCTAAAACTATACTGGGTTAATAGTCCGTGGATGCGACTGACCGAACCGGCGGGATGTGGCAGACTGACTCGCGAGAGGCAGTCCTCGATGCACGAAGCCCTGAAAATGCTGTGTCAGCTGGAAATCGTTGGCACAGCAGTTACAGGAACATTTTCTAGATGTAACACCTCCCCCATTGAGAATAAACTTCGAGGTTGTTTTCGAAGTTTATTATTATAAAATTTATCTTATTTTATTTAATGATTCTGATCGAGGGTTGAGGAGGTAACTCACGGAGTTCTATATCGGAATCTATATTTGGCTCAGAAGGTTTGGATCTTTCCTTATTCTTTAAACTAACACGAGGAATACGTCGCATCCGCGTCTATTAAACATAATTATAAATTTATATAAACCAAAACTTATTACTAATATTACAATTAAAATGGTTAAAGTGGAATACTGTGTACTATATTTTACAATGTGTGGGCTTTGTTCAATTTTGTCTAAATCTATTACAATATCTCTTAATTTATTACTGTCTAAGTTAACATTTTTCAAATCTATATTTTGTAACTCATTGAGGTGCCAATCCTCAATTTTAGAATGCAGCTTATCTAAATTACAACAAGTATCGTTGATCAGACTAAATTCAGTGAAAGACAAAGGTGAAGTAATATTCAAAACATCGTTTTGTTGGGAAAACAATACGGTACTTTTTGTATAACCAATACAATTTTTCGGTAATGAAAAGATTCCAACTCCTTGGATATTGATTTCAAATAATTTTCTATCTAGACAATCTAAGGTGAGTTTAACTGAGTCTGATTGGATAAATATCCATCTATTGTTGGATATCGACTGCCATATGTCTAATTTTCCAATGATAAAATTAGTTTTACAATTTGAAGGAATTTTGTTGACTACTTTTGTTAAAAGATTGCTTTCACAACTAGGTTTTACATCGGATACATATGTATTTAAAATTTGGCAAATAAAATGACTGGGATACAGTTCGTTACATTGATTCAAGTTTTGTAAATTCACATATTTAGTATTGTCTTTACTTAAAATTATATACTTAGCACTAGGGATAATCAGACTAAAACTATTTAAGTCTTTAATTTTATGGGGTACAGGTAAAGCCGTGGCTTGGAATAGTTTGTATTCTTCGTTATTTACTAACGGAATTTGTAAAATAAACACAATTTTGTTTTTTATATAATAACATAAAACGTTTGAAATTTTTTCAATTATATTAATAGTATTTATATTTAAGGTTACAGGTAATTGTAAATCATTTGGAACGTATTTATAGTTGTTTGCTAATTCATTTTGTAGTTTCGTTGGTGAGATTACAGATGGGTGAATAACGTTCTGCCCACTCAGAACGACAGCATCGGTTATATCCTCCATTTGGAATGATAAGGTAAGTAATGTAGTTTCTAAACTATTGAATATAAAATTAATTTCAGAATGTATTTCTAAATCATCTACAATGACAGTTAGATTCTTCAGTTTTAAGGTGAGTTTATCTATTGCAGCATGCATATTGGCTTCGTTTACTTTAATTTGATGTAAAGTCTTATTGTAGGACGAGATTATTGAGGTGGTTATTAATATGTTGTCTTTCATAAGTGACGCTATCCTTTTCTCACTTGTGCACTACACTGAATTTTCAGGTCCAGCGGTCCGATTTTACCCGGTCCGGAATGACATGAAAAACCCGGATGAGTAGCTTGTGCACTTGTCCGTTTTTTTCCTGATTGGAGTGGCGCAGTGTAGGGCAGCTCTTTTTGAAGCTACACGTCACTACACTCTCTAGGTACGATGAGATTTTTGGAACGTCGATAATTGCTTACTTTGTTACTCTACGTGCGAAGACGTAGAAAAGTACCTAAATAAAGACCTGATCATTTTACATAAACCATAATACGAAAGCATTTTTTTACTACTATCGGATGACTACTATTGGATGTAAAAACTTATAACCTTACTAATTTAGGAACTGCATTATTCACATACAATAGCTAAATATATGTGTGAAAATAAAATTACTGATAATGTTCTAGTACTTGATGTTTAAATTTATAAACGTGTTATTTTTTTTTCGAAGTTAAAAAACGTGTTTATAAACGTGTTATTCATATGCTAAATGAACTTTACGATGGCATTTAAATCAGCCATCCTATTTAAAGTCATTTCAAATTTTATTACAGTAAATATGAAAAAAATTTTGAGTGTATAGCGCGAGTCTGATAATGGCCCTTGGCACAGAAAACACGCTATTATAAATTATAAATCTATTGTTTAATAAAACTGAAATACAATTAAAATAACTAAACTGTAATCTTCACACAAGCTTGTAAT